CGCCGGCGGTACCCCGGCTGCCCCCACCGGCGGTGCTGGTGCTGCCCCATCCCCTGTCCCTTCCCCAGGGAGAAGCGGCAAGCGGAGACGCAACCGGCCTCCGAATACGCCGAGCAGGATGAGGAGCGCCTGAAGCACGAGGGTGAGTGCCAGCCCCAGTGCAGCAGCGGCGGCGGGTTGGGGAATGCCAACACCACCGGCGCGGTAAGCAATGCCTTGCCTCCACGCAGCCGAGGGCATCCCGCGGAGCGGCGAGCACGAGCGCAAAAACCCGGTGGCCTTGTACATCCTCAAGGACAAGGTGAGCGGCCGGTAGTGCGCCAGCTTTGGGCCGTGGTGCCGGGTCCTGCACGCTTCACACGCTTCACCCTTGGCTTTTGGCAGGACTCGCCGGAGGCGGAGGAAGATTCGTTGCCCGAACCCCGCGGCACGGTTGAACCGGGTTACACCAGCTCGCCAGTACCAGCAGCCGGTCGCTCACCGGGACCGGTGGGGCGTTCGACTCGTCGTTACCATCGCTCGCCGGCTCGCTCGCCTGCCTCGACGCGGACGCACAGGTCGCCACCGGGTTCACCGGCGCGTTCCCGTGGTGCCCCACGGCTGCTGCGGACTGCCGGCGTCCACGTCATCCGGGAGCAGGAGGAGGCCAACGCCGTGGAGATCAGCGCCTGAGCGGGGGGGACATGTGCGCGCTTCGGCGGCAGCAAGCGAGCGGGGACACTGTCACGGCCCTGCTCCCGCCACCAGGCATCGTTCGGCTGGGCGTAAAGTCACTAATTTGCTATTGATCCCACCCAGAGCTCCCCTCTTCCGTCCCCACCTTCCTGGGGTGTCGCTTTAATGGCTTTCTCGCCGGGACGAGCGTGCAGGGAGCGTGCAGAAAGCATGCGCGCTTGCCAGGAGCGTGCAGGAGAGGGTGTGCAAGAGGGCACGTACAGAGTGTGCAGAGAGAGCATGCAGGCAGTGCACAGAGATAGCATGCGTGGAGCGCGCAGGAGGGCATGCACGGAACATGGAGAGAGAGCACGCAGAGAGAGCGTGCATGCAGTGTGCAGAGAGAGCAATCATGGAGCGTGCAAGAGGGCATGCACGGAGCGTGCAGTGAGAGCATGCATGCAATGCACAGAGAGAGGGTGCACAGAGCATGCAAGAAGGCATGTACAGAGCATGCAGAGAGAGCACGCGTCATGCACAGAGCTCACAAGAGGGCATTCACGGAGCATGCAAGAAAGCGTGCAGAGAGACCATGCACACAGTGCACAGAGAAAGCATGCCTGGAGCATGCAGAGAGAGCGTGCACAGAGCGAACAGAGAGGGTGTGCACAGAGCGTGCAAGAGGCATGTGCACAGCATGCAGAGAGAGCGTACACAGCGTGTGCAGGGATGTCATGCAGAGAGCGTGCAGAGAGAGCGTGCGCGAAATGTGTGGAGAGAGCATGCACAGAGTGTGCAGACGGATCATGCCCCGAGCATGCAAGAGGACACGTGGACAGAGCGCGCCTGGAGCATGCAGAGAGAGCGCGTACAAAGGGCGCAAGAGGGCATGCACAAGGGTGTGCAGAGAGAGCACGCACGCAGTGTGCAGAGAGAGCATGCACAGAGCGTGCAGCTAAGACTGAATGGATTGTGTGAAGAGCACGCACATGGAGAATGTGGAGAAAACGTGCATGGCGTGTGCAGAGAGCGTGCATGGAGCGTGCAGAGGGTGTGCATGGAGCGTGCAGAGAGCATCCATGGAACGTGCAGGTAAGACTGTTCATGGCATTTGCGAGAGCGTGCCAGCATCGGGAGCGCTCTCCGAGTGTGCATGGGGTGTGCAGAGAGCACGAGTGTGCAGAGAGAGTCTGCGCAGAGCATGCACAGAGCATGCGGAGAGAGCGTGTGGAGAGAGCGTGCATGCAGTGTTTGCAGAGAGTGTGCACAGAGCATGCAGGGAGACCGTGCATGGAGTGTGAGAAAAGAACATACGCGAAGCTTGCAAGCGGGCATGCACAGAGCGTGCGAAGAGAGCATGCATGCAGCATTTGCATAGGGCATGCATGGAGCGTGCAGAGAGAGCGTGCACGGAGCATGCAGTGAGCGTACAAAGAGCATGAGGAGACAGCGTGTGTGCAGGGCTTGCAGAGGACACGCACGGAGCATGCGGAAGGAGTGGGCATGGAGCGTGTGAAAAGAACATGCATGAAGCGTGCAGCTAAGACCGTGGCATCAAGTGTGCATGAGCGCGCGGGGAGCACGCACACAGCACGTCAAGCGAGCACACCCGCACCCGGTGTGTGCAAGAGCGCCGCGCCCGCCTGTCGCAACACACAGACCTGTGCACACAGCTGCCCGGCACTGCACGGAGCTGGGGGGGGGGACACGACACACTAGATGCAAGCTTGCCCAAGCGCGCACGCACGCAGGAGGCCTAAACGGGGGGCTCCCTCCTCCCCCCCAGCTCCCCAGCTTCA